CAAGAATAAAAACCCTTCAGTGGCTTCCCACTGCTCTTAAAGACAAAAATCACTAACCAGCTAACAAAGCCCCACACTGTCTGGCCCCTGCCAACCTCTCTAATCTCATTTCCTAAGTCTCTCCCAGCATGTCTGTGTTTCAGCCATGCTGGCCTTTCAGCTCCTTCAACACACTGAGCGCCTAAATCTTTTCCCTTCCCCACCCCTGCCTCCCCTTTCACCCAGCTAACCCAAGTTCAAATGTCATTATTCCAGGAAATAACCCTAGAACTGCAACTTGACCTAACCTTAGGACACTCTGTAATTCTTCACAGCACTGACTGCTATTTCCAATCACGCAGACATCTGTGCGTGATTATCTCTTCAAGGCTCATCTCCCACCTTTAGACTGACAGCTCCCTGATGATGGTGTGTCTCATGCACCAGACATACCCCACCCTTGACTAAGGACCTGGTACTCAAATACTTATTGAATCAATGAACAAATGAAATCCCTTACAATTTGACCTTCTCTGGGCACTGACCCAAATCTCAGCCCTCAAAATGCAGTGCACATTTAACCAGGTTCCTCTTCAAATAATACTACCAAATAACATTCCAGATACTTACTTTTCTATGAACTTCTATGCCAATAGAGATGAGTTCCCTGATTCCTAATTTCCTAAACTTATCAGGCATCCCTTTATCTTCAAATGCTTCAAATGACAGATTTTTTTAAAATGAGAAAAACAGAAGGGAGTTATTTGGGTTCTGGACAGAAACCGGTTCTTTAGATTCATTCTGCTTGGCCCAATACTGAACATCTAGGGTTAAATGTTCTTGCACACAATCGGAAACTGTCCTTAAGATGTTGGCAGCAGGGCCTGAAACATTCTGCTTCTTTGCAGAGCATTCGAGTTAAGCTCAGCAAAACCAGGTTAATTCACCAACGGTATAGAAAATGGAAAGTACTTCTTATACTACAAAACACCAAGCAATATTATTTACATTATGGTCATTATATATTACTCAGTCTTTTAGTTCCTGAAGGAATATAAGTCTATTTTTAAATAGCTAAAAGTAAGCCTTCTTTGGTGAATATACTTACCTACAGAAGATCCAAAATAACATCTGCACAGGGAACTATACAATAAAAGATTGATCTGAAAAATTGTTTAAATCATACCCACTGATCCAGGTATGGGTTTTCTTTCCCATGGAAGGGACAAGGGGTGCGCTTGTGCAGTGGAAATAACTATGGCAAAAAATGCTGACAGGTATGAATACATCCCCTAAGGATTCTAGAGGCAGCCTAAGAAAACACTTGCTTTGAGCAGACATACGCTTAAAAAAAAAGTGTATTCGTCTTTTAGCAGTACACACAGCATGGTATATAACTTGCTTCACTGTCTTTCTCTTCTTCTACTTTCTGTACTCTTGTATTGAAATATACCAACCATCAGCCTTAACATCTACAACTTTTAAGTCAATTTATAAATACATACAAACCCAATTAAAAAATCCCTACTTTGTTAACATTTGCAAAAACCAAGTAAAAGATAAACAGGAATTCTTTATACACTTGACCCTTAAAGAACACAGGTCTGAATTTCGTGGGGTCCACTGATAATTTACACTGGGTGTGCCAGACTCTCCTGCCTCCCTTTCCACCTCTCCTCCACCTGTTTTGCCTCTGCCACCCCTGAGGCAGCAAGACCAATCTCTCTTCTTCCTCTTTCTCCTCTGGTGAAGATGATGAGGATGAAGACCTTTATGATGATCCACTTCCACTTAATGAGTAGTAAATATATTTTCTCTTCCTTATGAATTTCTTAACATTTCCTTTTTTCTAGCACTTTATTATAAGATAATACACATAGCATACAAAGTATGTGCTAATCAATTATTTATATTAATGGTAAGGTTTATTTTCTGGTCAACAGTAAGCTATCAGTAGCTAAGTTTTGGGAGAATCAAATGTTATACTCAGATATTTGACTGTGTAGGGATAGGGGGAGATAGGCACCCCTAAATCCCACATCATTCAAGAGTCAACTATACCAGTTTTGTCAGCTTTTCTGTAAGTTTGAAATTATCATTAAATGATTTAAAAACTATTTTTAGCCAGGTGCACGGTTGGGTCGCGCCTGTAATCCCAGCACTTTGGGAGGCCAAGGCAGGTGGATCACCTGAAGTCAAGAGTTTGAGACCAGCCTTGCCAACATAGTGAAACCTTGTCTCTACTAAAAATACAAAAATTAGGCAGGTGTGGTGGTGCGCATGTGTAATCCCAGCTACTCAGGAGGCAGTGGCAGGAGAATCGCTTGAACCCAGGAGGCCGAGGAGGTTGCAGTGAGCCGAGATCACGCCACTGCACTCCAGCCTGGGTGACAGAGCAAGACTCTCTCAAAAATAAAAAATAAAATAAAATGATTTAAAACTTTTAATTTGTTTTTTATTTTAAAAAGATTATCCTATCTTTGGATATTTTTAATTATTGCAATGACCAAGTTTACAGTTGAGTTTTAAATCTGGGTCTAAAACAGACCAGAATTACTTCATTTCATCCAAAGTTTCTGGCCACAAGGTTATTTTTCTCAACTTCTTTTCCTACCTGACATGCTCAATTGCAAGGGCTGTCTGGTCAAACACTCCCGAATCATCAAACACCACCCAGAGCTCCTGCAGGGGCTACCGATGTTCCTTCAGATCGAGGAGCTCCTTCATGCACTCCATGGTAAAAGTGCTCACTTGAGAGTCACAGAGGTATGGTTCAGCAAGCCTCACCACTGCCTTCAAGGCTGCAAAGTCCACATCTGTGGCCTGAAATTTAAAATAATGTGACGTAACACATGGAAATCTAAATTAAGATAGACCTATAAGATACCACTGACAATCTGATTTTTTTAAAAGCATACAACGTGGGTGGGGAGCCTTTACCCATAACCTAAAGGATGAACAAGACAGGCTGGCTCTTATCCTCATGGAGCTTACACTGTAGTCAGGAAGATCAATAAACACAATGATAATGAGTGACAAGAATAACTAGCAAGGGTGGGTTCTGCTGAGATGTCCAAGGAAGTCAGCTTGGAGCAAGGCTGAGGACGATGAGAAGGAAGCAGCCATCTGAAGAGCAGGGAAAGTGCAGAAGGCCTGTGGCAGAGACAGGCTTGGCAGCTGGAGGAGCGGGAAGGCAGTCCTTCATGCTGGAGCCAGAGGGAGGAAATGGAGCAAGGGGCATGTGCAGTGGAGCAGCAAGACATGAGGTGAGAGAGAGAGGCAACGAGATCAGGACATGAAGGACATCTGAAGGAGCTTGGATTTTACGTGTTTTCTATACAATGAGAAGCCATAAAGCCAATACTAGGCCCTTGGTAAAGACAATACATTAGGAGTTTTAAGCAGAGAAATGGCATGCTTCTGTTTTAAAATAATGACTTTGATTGTTTTCAGATAACTGATTGGCGGGGGGGCCCTATCATAACCAAATGAATAGGCCTGAACTTCAACCAAAAAATATTAGCATAATCCAAAATTTTAAAACTCACAAGCAATAGCTGCAATCCACTGCCTCGTACATAATCACTGCAGTATGTGATGCCATTTTCTAAGGAAGCTGCAGCGACAACTTGTATTCACACTCCCTGGTTTGTCATTTTAGGTTACTAGGGCTTTTTGTGGTCAGTTAACAAACACTGAGAAAAACTCAAAGCTGTAATTAGAATGCAAATGTAAAAGGCCTAGTCAGCTGAAAAATAAGATTGTTTTTACATTTTGCAGTGGGACCCACTGTCAAGAGATTAGTCACATATAAACAAATTTCTAGGCAAAAAATGGGCTAGTTTAAAAATGCCTCTTAGCAGAGGTTGCAGTGAGCCGAGATCATGTCACTGCACTCCAGCCTGAGCAACAGAGTGAGACCTCATCTCAAAAACATAAATCAATAAAAATGCCTCTTAGGTTTGAGCTGCTTAATGAACTACAATTAAGAAGTTAAAAACTTCTTTGAAACCATTAACTTCATAATTAGTCCTAATTTTTTAAGTGATCTCAAATACCCTCTTTTAATTAATTTAAACCAGTTTAATTCTCTGGTAACAACTCCTCAGTTGCCTTTAAATTTTGCAGAACACTTCTTGCAACATGGCAATGAGATGTGAAACACATGCTATTTGAATCAGCTCATAAACTTTAATTAAAAATAAGCACTTAGGCTATAACAGTCTGAAGTAAAGTGCTTATAGCTACAGACAAAGGTGTTAACAACAAAATTAACCTTACCTCAACCAGTACCTTGAACACGTTAGTGTGCCAGACCGCCCATCATCCAGATGGCTCAAGGACCTTCTCCAAGAACTCAGCTGTGCATTCCTTTACCTCAGAGTCCTTACAGTCAGCTACAAACAAATGAAACACAGGAAGAACTGAAAATGCATAGAGCAGAGGGAAGTTCATAAATCCACTTAAATACACTATCTCAGAAACAACAACCGGCAATCTGAGGGACTGAAACAAATAATCTACTTGTAAACTAAAAAGACAAAAGATGGAAAAAAAACAGCCGGACATGGTGGCTTATGCCTGTAATCCCAGCACTTTGGAAGGCCAAGGCAGGAAGATCACCTGAGGTCGGGAGTTCGAGACCAGCCTGACCAACATGAACCCCGTCTCTACTAAAAACACAACATTAGCTGGGCATGGAGGCGCATGCCTGTAATCCCAGCTACTCAGGAGTCTGAGGCAAGAGAATCGCTTGAACCCAGGAAGCAGAAGTCGTGGTGAGCTGAGATCATGCCATTGCATTCCAGTCTGGGCAACAAGAGCAAAACTCTATCTCAAAACCAAACAAACAACAAAAAAAAACCACCTACTCAACTAAAATATAATCTTGATAGGCTCTGAATTGCACATAGAACAAATGTTGATTTGTTCGGAAAATTTCTGGGAAAAAGGTTTTTCCTTCTGGCATAAAACTTTGTAAACTAGAACCTGGTTTATCACCATAGCTACAATCACTGCCTGAATCTTCATCCAGGAACAAACCTAAAAAAGTAAGTAAGCTACAGTGCCTTATTGAATGCTTCTATTTTCATATCCTTGCATAGAAATCTCAAACAAAATACAAACAAGAATCTGAATATGAATGGTCTAATTACCTCTACCATTGTGAACTAGTTTTCCAAACTTAAAAATATTTCAAAATGCAAATTCTACTTCAAAACAGTAAGAGCTTAAGATCTTTCATAGTTAGATTTTTGTTGTTGTTCTGTGAGGTTTTTTGGGGAAGGCGGCGGCTGTTTGTTTTTGTTTTAGAAACGGTCTCACTCTGTCACCTAGGCTGGAGTGCACCACAACCTCAAACTCCTGGGCTCAAGCAACCCTACTGTCTCAGTCTCCTGAGTCGCTAGGACTACAGACATGCATCACCACATTCAGCTGGAAGACAGGTGATTTTTAATTCAGTGGAAATTACTCAAGTTCTCCTGCAAAGCATACAGCCTGTGATTTATACTACAGTTAGCAAGTTATAATAATCAAGTATCTTAGTTATTTCCAAAACAATTCCATAAAGCTCCTCTAAGAAAGGGAGCTGACTTCCCCTCAGATGGTTAAACCCTCCCTTTATTTTTCTACAATATCAGTCTGTCAATCGCCCCTCAATAAACAGGGATAAGAGAGTCTTAATAATCCACAAGGTTTACTTCAGTAAGGACATTAGGTTCCTCACTGATTTCAATGACTGTGTCTAAGGAAAAGATCAGACAATGCAAATCACATTAGGTTTGGGCTGTATATAATGTTTCAAAAGGTATGATTCGACCAGTGGCATATCTAATTCTGTGTAACAAGATGTTTTAAATAAACGAAACTACTACTAAATAAATAATGCTAACAAGGGTAGCATTTAGAATGCAGAGTAGTTTCCAGAAGTGGTTTCAGCGAAGGTAACTGAGCTGTTAGCAGATACCTTTTTTCTCCCTCCCCCTTGATTTTCTCCTTCCCTTCCCTCCTTCCTTCCATTTCTTTGTCCCTGTTCAGGCCACCAGAAGTACTTGACCCACAGATGACCAAAGTGTACTCAAGGGTCCACTGCTCACAAACACTGATGCACATGAGCCTTAGAAGGCTGCGTGACAATCACTCTGTGCCTCAGCTTCCTCGCCTATAAAGGGAAGATAAAAATAGAACACCTACTTCAATTAAATTAAGAAGATTATTTGTTAATAATTTACAACAGTGCCCCTTATATAATGTATACAGTTATTAAAGAAATAGTAGTACTTCAGCACCATTCTTTTTTTTCCAGCACCATTCTTCATAGCTATATGGAGGTATAATTAACATATACAAGTTATATACATTTAAAGTGTATAACTTGATGGCCAGGGGCGGTGGCTCACAGCTGTAATCTCAGCACTCTGAGAGGCAGAGGTGGGTGGATCACCTGGGGTCAGGAGCTCGAGACTAGCCTGGCCAACACAGTGAAACTCCATCTCTATTGAAGAGGGTTTTCTCCCTCCTCCATTTCAATCCCTCTACCTGCAGCCCATCACAACCTTCTACCTGCCCTAAGGTGGCTGCCACCTGCTCTTCTCCACCTTGTTTATAGCTTTGTTCTCTTTCTCATCACTGGGTCCACATGTCTACACATGTGCTCCAAAATACCTGTTCTCCTAAAAACACTTTAAGCCTATCTGCAACCTTGAGATCCTGCTCTCTCTCTCTCTGTAGCCCCCAACTGCTCAGCATAGTGCCTTCCCACTCCTGCCTTCTTGGAGGCCAGTGACCCCTCTGGAGGCCACTCCCCACACCCCACAGCAGCACTGACTCTGCTGACCACCCACCTCTGTAGTCTTCCCTCCCTCGGCCTCTGGGTCCTCACTTTCCTGGTCCTCCTTCTAGTTCACCGACTATAGTACCTCAGTCAACTGCGGTGAGAAAGTGAAAAAGTCCAGAAATAAACAACTGTGGAAAAGTCCAGAAATAAACAATTCATCCGTTTCAAATTGTGGGCTGTTGTGAGTAGCATGACTCATTCCTTTTCCAACGTACCACACTGGCACTGTCAGGGCCAAGGGAAAGCTCAATGCTCACCCTCTGAAGGTTCACTGGAAGTTGTCAAATGGCAGATTAATAGAAGACCTAAAAAATTATTAACATGCCCATAAATCACACTGATTACCCCACCATGCAATGGGGTACAGATGGTTCTATACCCTTCTGCTTAGGGGAAAGGGAAGCAGAGAAGCATGGATGATTTTGGGGAGGGGTACTAAATGATTTTCAGGGAATTCAATGGGCTTAAAGAACATACAGTGAGTGAGGCCGGGCGTGGTGGCTCATGCCTGTAATCCCAGCATTTTGGGAGGCCAAGGTGGGTGGATCACCTGAGGTCAGGAGTTCAAGACCAGCCTGGCCAACCCCATCTCCACTAAAACCCCATCTCTACTTTAAAAAAAGTACAAAATTTAGCCAGGTGTGGTGGCGCATGCCTGTAATCCCAACAGCCCAGGAGGCTGAGGCAGGAGAATGGCTTGAACCCAGGAGGTGGAGGTTGCAGTGAGCCAAGATTGTGCCACTGCACTCCAGCCCAGGAGACAAGAGTGAACCTCCATCTAAAGAAAAAAAAAAAAAAGAATTAAAAATAAGTACAAAAAAAGAACACAGCCTATTGGGCCTGTAGAGAAGATAACGGTTTGTGACAAGTCTGTCCAGGTGCCTTGACTGACTTCAAGCTTTCTTCCTGCAATATGGAATTCAGTTAATGAAAACTCAGGGAGGTGACCAGAGGTGATTGTTTCCTTCTTTGGTGGGTTCAGACTTTAGGTAGAATAAAAGAATCTCAGAGACCTTTGTTCTGTTCTTTGGGAGAGACAGAGGATTAAGAGATGGGGGATGGCGGGAGGTCAGCGAGTCCTCGAAGCTTCTTCAGTTCAGCCTGACAAAGCGTCATATTTCGGGGTTATCAGTTTATGGGCCCCCATATCACTTAGTAGCCATTTTGATTATCAGATCAAAAAAACATAGTGCAATTTATATAGGTTTCAGTACTATCCGTGATTTCCAGCAGTCACGGGGGATCTTGAAACATATCCCGAGAATAAGGGGCACTACTCTACTCCTTCTTGCTCTCATTTCTCTTCCCACCTTTCTGACTCCATGAATGGAGGTGATTCCCAGGCGTATATGCTAGCAAGGGCCTAGGGCAGGTGTGGCCACCACTGTGGCCATGCAAGAAAGGAAAGCAAGATTTGCTCATTCGTTCCACAAATAATAAATATATATAGTCTAGACTATGCACCAGACATTGTTCTAGGTTTAAGGGCAACAGGGCAAACGAGACAGACAAGGTCCCTGCCTGCGCAGAGTTCACAGGCTAGGAAGAACACCCAACAAACAAGTAAAAAATCAATTAACAAGCAAATTTCAAGTATTAAAAAAATACTAACAATAAAACAAAGTGCAGGCTGGGTGCAGTGCCTCACGCCTGTAATCCCAGCACTTTGGGAGACCGAGGCAGGCGGACCACTTGAAGTCAGGAGTTCGAGACCAGTCTGGCCAACATGATGAAACCCCATCTCCATTAAAAATACAAAAATTAGCCGGGCCTCGTGGCATGTGCCTGTGGTCCCAGCTACTCAGGAAGCTGAGGGGAGAGAATCGCTTGAACCCGGGAGGCAGAGGTTGCAGTGAGCTGAGATCACAACATTGCACTACAGCCTGGGCCACAGAGTGAGTCCGCATCTCAAAAAAAAAAAAAAAAAAAAAATTGTAACAATGTGATAGAAAATGCTGGGGGGAGACAAATTCAGACTTTTACGCAAAACACCTGATTTTAAACTTAGCAACTAATTTTTTAAAAATTTAAACACTATACAAGCCAGAAAAACTATTTCCCAGGCCAAATTGTCTCATGGCCCACCAGACTGCAACCTCCATTCTAAGCCCAAACTACTCAGGGCACAGTGCAGGGACCAGCAGGAGCTTGTTGGAAATGCAGTCTCTCCCACCCCAACCCCAGACCTGCGAGATCAGAATCTCTCTGTGGCAAGATCCCCAGCCCCCAAGTGACATCATTCACATTTGAAGCAAAATCCTTCTGAACTGACCTCTCTCCTGAGGCTTTATCAGTTTTCACATTCCTGCTAGAAAACTTGATATGGGTTCTTGTCTGTGGTTCACCTTCACTGTGCTGCAAAGCCAGATCCCAGCACAGCCCTTCTTCCAGCGCAGATGCCTCAGCTGCATCCTACCTCCCTGCCACAGCCTGTGTGGGCTCCAACCGTCTCGCACTCCCATTGCTGGGACAGCCTCTGGGAAGTCGCCCTCTGAGAAGCCTCCACCTACCCTACCCATTTCCACAATTAACTGCTCCCTTCTCACTGCCCCTAATACAGGAGTCACAAACATAAACGTCCCCAAAAGCCAGGCTAATACCAAGCAGGGAAGTGGCCACTGTGTATGTGCAGTGGGGTGTGACCCCAGTGTTGTTAGGGTGACCTTTCAAGAATTTAAGTCAGAAATCAAGAT